GGTGGCGGATGCACGTCCCTGAGTGTGATCAGGAGGGGTGGCGTATAATATCAATTCCACAAACCCTACAAGACAGCATGTTGCACTCTACCACTCCTCAACTTGCGAGTGGGACATTGTGACGGTTCGTTTTTACACCACATCGCACAACACAGCTAATACACCACATAGCTTGCATCAGACAGCTTGCACCACATAGCTTACATTTCAGAGCTTACATTATCTACGGTGTAGGAGAAGTGCTTACATCACATGCATACACGCATACATATATGCATGCATACACGTACACACACTTGCATACACACATACACACATACATCCATGCATGCATGCATGCATACATACGTGCACAGATGCACACATACATCCATACATACATACCTCCATACATACATACATATATGTATGCGCACACACACATGCACACACGCATACAGACATACACCTAACCATCCATACATACATACATACATACATACATACATACCCACACCCATGCATGCATGCATGCATGCATGTATACATACATACATACGCACATACACACATACATACATACATACATACATACATACATACATGCACACATGCATGCATGCATACACGCATACATGTATTAATGCATACACGCATACATACATACATACATACATACATACATACATGTATACATTCGTGACCACATACACACATCCATACATACATACATACACATACATACATGCATACACACATCCATCCATACATACACACATTTATCCATACAACCATCCATACATACATACATGCAGACATACATACATACATATATACCTATACATATACATACATACATACATGCATACATACACACACATACATACATACATGTATGCATGCATGCATGCACACATACATACTTACATACTTACAGACATACATACATACGTTCACACACATACATTCTTACATCCATACATTCATACAATACATGTACATACACATACATACATACATACCTACATTCATACAACTGTACATGAACATACGTTCGTATGTACAAGCATGCATATATTCATACACACATCCATACATAGAGTCATGTATACGTACATGCATACACATACATCCACGCATCCACACGACCCGACGGAATTCAACCTTGAACGATCGGGGGCGTGAACGATTCAATGTTGAACGATCGGTGCGGTGTCAAAAACCTATGCGCGCGCCGACGCCGCACGAACTTGCCGTAGTCGTTTTTTACGAAGACCTCCCAGCAGTTGTTTCCTGTGCTGGCGTCCTAGTACACGCCGGTCGGTGTAGGTATTTCTGGATGCCCAGATCCCAATTTGCTGCAGCCGCTCTTTTACACTCAGCCCGCACAGTAGGGATGAACGATTTTCCAAGGTTGCCCTTGCATTAGCAGGCGAGGAGCGGTATGACATTGTCTTCTCCGTCGCCGGGGGCGCTGCCCCAGGGCGGCTGGAAAGTTTTACCTTGACGCGCCAACGTGAGGGTTTAGCTTTCCAGCCGCCCTGGGACAGGCGCCCCCGACAGCGAAGAAGTGTATCGTATACCGCTATTCGCCCGTTCATTGTATCCTTCCCCTTCGGCCCGTCCTTGGCCGCCGTCGCTGGCCGCGCCCCGCTCGCGGAGTGTGGACGTGGCCTTTCCCAAGGCCCTCGCGGCCTTGCCGCGCACATCCCCAGACTCTGCAGGAGGAGGAGGAGGAGGTGGAGGAGGAAGAGGAGGGGAGGGAGGGAGGGAGGGAGGGAGGGAGGGAGGGAGGGAGGAGGAGGAGGAGGAGGAGGAGGAGGAGGAGGAGGAGCACAGCGGTCTTCCCTCGGACCGAGTCGAGCGGTCTTCCCTCGCCCCTGCCCCTTTGGCGGGCGGGCGGACGCCCACTCTACTTTCAAGTCGGGCGTGCCCCTCTACAGGAGGATATTCAAACATAGTCAATCAAATTGTCGGGGGACGACTTGTCGACTATCTGTTTGGCAATTTTTGAGCATGTGTTTGACTATGTGTTATTGTTCTTCCCAAATCTGCCTGTGGGGTGGGGGGGGGACACGCCCGACCTACCTCTACTTCCAACGCCCTCCTGCTTCATTCGAGGAGAAAAACAACGGCGTAAACATAAACTTTGGCGCTCCGCGCGGATTTCTTGGATCCGCGCTGGGGCCTTGGCGGCCCTGGAGGCGCCGCCCGTGGCGCGCTCCGCGCGCCAGGGAGGGGGGGTCCAGCGCAGATCCGAGAAATTCGCGCGGAGCGCCTCAAGTTTCTGTGTATACTGTTGTTTCTTCTTCTATTCATGTTTCAAGGGAGGAAATATCACCCAGACCCGATAATTGGCATTTACTAAGCGGCCTTGAGGCGTTGACTAAGCAGCCCTGCCCTGTTCGATTCCTTCTTCGCGTGCGTTTGCTGAACGGCCTCGCTTATCGGGGTGGTTATTAAGGGGGGTGGATCTCTTGCCCTCTCATGCTTCTACCCACTTCTTCCGACCGAGGGGTGCTTCCTCCGCCCCCCTGGAGGGCCTTCTGGCGCCCGCACGCGTCGCCGCCCAGGAGCGGAGCGGTGGGGGCAGGCCAGCGGAGCCTGCCATGACGTTGGGGGGGGGGTTCTCTCCCCCGCTGCCGGTGCACCCCGGGGGGGGGGCGCCCCAGGAAGCGCGGGGGCGGCCAAGGAGGGGCTGACGACTGCTGGTGGGTGTGTCATGAATCGAGGGGTGGGCGACGAACCTTCCCACGGAGCTTGCCCATCTCCCCCCCTCCTCCGTCTCTTTCTTTTGCTCCTCCTCCTCCTCCACCTCCTCCTCCTCCACCTCCTCTTCCTCCTCCTCCTCCTCCTCCTCCTCCTCCTCCTCCTCCTCCAACCCCCCTCCACCCGTTCCGACAGCACGTGCCCAGCCTCCCCAAGCGAAACCACCTCCCCCAGAGTAGCGGGGGGCGGGGAGATATCATGGCTCCCGCCATGATATCCCCCCAGATCTCATGTCGGCTCTTCGTGCTTGCTGCCGGCCATGATTTGCGCCGGAGCCACCTTCTTGGACGCCCCCGAGAAGCAGTCGGTGGCTCGGTGGCCACATGAGGCGTTCCAAAAAATGGGCCCTGCCTGCGAGGATCGAAGGAGTTGTCCTCTCTTCCGCCGCAGAAGGCGGCGGAAGTAAAACGAGGCCGCCTCCGCCGACGGAAGCCGGCGGAAGCAGAAGTCGACCTCCCAAGAGATGACCACATTTTGGGGTGCAGGGTTTCCGCAATCGGAAGAGAGCCCAAGACCGCCCAAGAGCATTCCAAGGTGGCCTCAGATGGCTTTAAGATGGTCCAAGAGGGTCCCAAGACGGCCCAAGAGGCCTTGAAGAGGACCCCCGATGGGGGCCTCGGGAGGCAACAATCATTGATTTCCCAGAGGTTTTTGATAGTTTTGAGGGTTCTCGTTTTTTCGGCCTAAGAACGGCCCAAGACGGCCCAAGAGGCCTCAACGATCGCCCCAAGACGGCCCAAGAGGCCCCCAAGAAGGCCCCAAGACGGCCCAAGAGGGCCCAAAGACGGCCCAAGCAGGGCCCAAGGCTGCTCCAGGAGAGCCCCAAGAGGCTCCCAAAAGGTTCCCAAGAGGCCCCAAAGAGAGCCCCAAGACGGCCAAAGGCCTCCAAGACGCTCCAAGACGCCCCAAGATGGCCCAAAAGGGCCCCAAGACGGCCCAAAAGGGCCCCAACAGGGCCCCCCAAGGACCCCCCAAAGACACCCCAGAAGCCCCAGAGACGCCAAATAACACCATGGCTCCCAACAGTGAGCGGCCAAGGCTCCAAAGAGCGAGCGGCAACGTAAACATTTCTGAACACAGTGGCTACCAAGAGAAAGCGGTCGCGTAAACGTGCTGATAAGACCAAGGCTCCCAAGAGCGATCGGTGGCATACAAAGCTCTGAATATCAAGGCTCCCGAGGGCGAGAGGCAACGTAACAATCTCTGAACACCAAAGCACGGAAACGAGCGGTGACGTAACCAGCCCTTGACACCAAGGCTCCCAAGTGCGAGGGGTGCCATGAGCCATCTCGGGCAAGTTCCTGAAGCGCTCTTTCCGTTTCCGTGCCGGCCCAGGTCTACCAGCTCAGTTTTCGCAGCTAGTGGTCTGTAGGCGTTTTGTCTCCATTGCCAGTGCCGTTGCTTGCGCTCGGCATGTCAGGGCCCACGCTGGACGGGGCCCGCGGGACCCGCAACTGGTTCGTCACTTTACCGCCACCACTTGCGAACCAGTCCATTGTGGAGGACAATGTTGTGCCAGAGGGGGTCCGGAGAATACATCACAAAGAGATGTCGAGCAAGTCCGTGGATCATGCGACTGGGTTAAAGCTGACGCACGCAGCATCGACGAAGGCTGGGCCATGGCATCGGTTGGAACTGGGGAAACGCGGCGCCCCGTTCGAGAACCCGAATGCTTGCAAGAAGCACGCAGTGGAGACTACCCCGCCCTCCTTCCTTCAGTTGCTCGATAAGTACCACGTGGCCGTGAGTGCTACTGGCACTAATGCGGATGCCATCCTAGACGAGTTACTTCTACAAAGAAGCAGTGGAGTGTATGTGATAAACTTCCGTTCATCCCACCACAGTGTCTGGGTTGTGGGTATGAGGCCTCGTCGTTGTTCGCTGGGATCTCGTGGGAGTTTCATCAGAGCCTCTAGGAAACACTGAGGCCTGTTGTGGCCTGCGGCTTCTTTCGGGCCTATTAGGGGGTTATTGGGGGCTTCTTGGGGCCCACTCGGGGCTTCTTCGGGGCGCATGGGGCCTCCCGGGCGTTTCCTGGAGCGGAAGGCTCGGATTTTCAGTTCTGAATCCCCCCATGGGGCCTCTGAGGCCGTATTCGTGCCGTCCTGAGCGCCTCATGGGCTGTCCTCTGGTCCATATGGTATGGGCCGTAATGGATCGTTCTTGGAGGCCTCTCTGGGCCGGAGACCGGGGACCGGGGACCGAATTGTTTTTCCTGGCCACTGCTTTGTCTTTTCACGAGCCCGCGCCAGGCGCTCCCCGCGCCGCCCCCCCCTCCCTGGCCGCGCCTCGGCCCTTCCCCTCGCGCGGGCGATGGAGCCGGCGCCGGAGCAAACGGGGCGTGCCGCGGAGCCTTGCGTGGAAGACCTCTTCTCAGAGGGGCCGTCTGGGGACGAGGGCGCCTTCTGGGACGCGGTCGACAAGGATTGTGACGCGAGGGCGAAGCAGCAGGAAGCGCAAGCTCTGATGCTGGTGTCGCAGAAGCTTCGAGAGGATGCCCGTCGCACCCGCGAGGTTCGCGCCCAGCTTGGGCCCTCAACACCGCAGAAGGCCAAGCAGAGTCTGATTTCAAGGTTCATGGCGGACACGCCGAGCCCGCCGGCCGCGCAGGAGGGCACCCTTGAGGGCCGCAGAGGCCGCCGGGGGCCGAAGCACCCTTGCTACATGAACGCGGAGGAGAGGGAGCAGGCGATCAAGAAGAAGGCGATCAGGCAGCAGGACGAGTCCTTGAGAATCCAGGCGCTTGAGCTGGAGAGCCAAGCGAAGGCTGCCGAGGAGTTGAGCAACGAGGCCGCGGCGGTGGCAAGCCAGGCCATCGCAATCCTCGAGCCGCATGACGTCGTCAGCGACTTGGCTGAGGCTTCGGAGGTTCTTCAGGTCATTGCCCGCAGAGGGCGTGGCAGACCGCCGCACACGGCCGAGCAGAAGGCTGCGGCGAAGGAGAGGAAAGCCAAGGTGAAAGCGCAGAAGGGCAAACTCCAACCAGAGGACAGGGAGAGGATGCAAACGCCGAGCGCCACGGCCAGGAGCATGATCGTTGATCGCGTCGACGCCCTCTCGAAGGAGGTCGACAATTACACCACCAACGAATTCTGGTCGCTCGCTGAGGACCTCTGCGGGGTCCCCGCGAGCATGCTGAAGCGGTTCGCGAAGCCCGAGGAGAGGGGGAAGCTTTCCCGCTACTTGGACGCCCGCGGTCCTGAGAGGTCAGAAGGGGATCCTCAAGACATTTTTGTGGCACCCAGGTGGCTGTCAATCAGCCCTCCCGCTCGCCCCGCCATTCTGGGCCCCCTTTCGCCCCCGAGAAAGCCCAGAGGAAACGTTGCCCCTTCGGATGGGGCGCCGGCGAAACGGCAGAGACACCCCAGTGGTTTTGGGCTCGAAGAAAAGCGCTCCCTCCCCCCGAAAAAAGAATCGTCGCTGCCTTGGGATCCTCTTTCTGGAAAGGGAGCGCCGTGGCAAACAACGCTGCTGGAAGAGGTTCATCAGCGCCGACACCGGGTGCCGCCTCTCAAAGGATGGCGCCAAGAAGAAGACCTACGAGTCGCCCGTCAAGGACGTTTACGATTACGTCAAAGCGTGGAAGGACAGGCAGGAGGAGATCGGTTTCGAGCTGAACCAAGAGGACTTGGTCGACGAATTCGAACTCGAGCTGGAGAGCAGGGTGTTCGACCTCAAGGAGAGCGGGGGGGGCGTCAAGCTCGTGTCGGAGATGGAGAGGCGCCTCGCCAAGTTGGCAGCCCCAGGAGATAGGAAATACGCTCGGGCACGGCTGGGCAGCTGGTGCGGCGTGGTCGAGCACAAGCCCTCCAACGTGGTGCCGTTCACGGCGGCCGAGAACGACCTCATCTGCAAGTTGTCGTACCAGGCATGGGACTGGCTCGTCGATCTGCTCATGACCGCCACCGCGGACGAGCTGCAGGGCTTCGTCGCTGACGCCCAGGGGCTCGTGGAGAACAGGCGCCAGCTGGCCGTCATCGCCCAGGACGCCTCCCCAGTCTACCTGGACTGCAGCACGGGGAAGGTCCTGGTCAGGACGTCGTTCCTGGACGAGCGCCAGAAGCGGCGGAGGCTGCGCCTCGCGGCCCAAAAGGACACTGTCTTCGAAAAGCCCCTCGCCGCAGAAATCTGGGCAGGCAGCTGTCCTGGTCGATTGGCCGCGGAGTAGGCATCGGCCGAGACAGCTTGCGGCCCTGGCTCCCCGAGCGAAGTGCGGCCTATATCACCTTTCCGCCCCCAGGACCCAAGCGCGCCGGTGCCGGAGATCATGTCGGTGGCGCAGCCGAGCGACGCCGTGGGCTCCAGCAGGAGGGAGAAGAACAGGTGGGCGCCCGCAATCGACACCCGCCCCGCGGCCATTTGCGTCCAGCGCGCTTTCACGGCACATGCGTGAGAGGGCGCGCGGGCAAATGGGCGCGGGCCGCGTCGCCGATGCGGGCGCCATAGGTTGACTTTCTTCTTCCGCCAGGCGCTGGAAGGCCTGTGGGACCCAGACGTGGCGGTGCCGACGGGCAAGGTGCTCGACGGCGTCTTGCTCGCCGTCGCCTCGAAGCACTACCGTTTGGAGGACATGTCTTTCTTCGAGCCGGCGCAGTGGTTGCGGGACCACTCGTTCTCGCTCGATGGGGTCATGGTCAAGCGGGTGAAGGGCGAGGCAGTGGGGCCGCTGGGCTCCGAGTGGCGGGCAGCCAGGCGCCATAACAAGGCTTTGTTCTACGCGCCTGGCACCGATTGGGGGCAGCCGCCTGACACGTGGCGCCCAGGGCACGTGAGGCTGTGGTGCGCCCCAAAGGCCACGGAAGACACGATCATCGCGTCCTTCCTCACGGACCTCTCGGTGGAGGAGGGGTACCAGTACTCCCTGAAGACTGTGGACTGTTGCCAGCGAGCATTCTGAGATCAAGGACTTGCACAATTACATGCACAACCAGGTAGTCCACACAATCGGCATGCGCCAAACCGCAAAAACACAGGTGACAGACGTGCGGGAGGCCGTGATCGGCAAGGCCGGGGGCGAGAAAGTCAAACACCAGCGGAGGAGATTGAAGAGACTTGCGGGTGACATGTCAGGCCAGGCGCCCGACCTCACGTCCGACAAGGTCGACCTCATGCACATTGCCCAGGGCATGCAGGTGGAGTGCCGACGGGACAACGCCGAGAACCAAGGCGTTCTGAAGGCGTTCCGCATGGGGGGTTGGCTAGCGCACAAGCCAACCGATCGCGGGCTGGTTCCCCTCGTGGGCCCCGCGTGGCGGCAATTTCCATTGGGGAGCTCCCGCCTCTCGAACAGCCTCATGGCGGACAGGGTGAACTACGTGCCCGTGCACGGCAAGCCCGAGAAGCCCGATTGGGGCCAGCTCCGGGCCCTCCGCGCCAGACAGCGGGCGGCATACGTGCAGCAGAAGGGCCAGGGCATCAGCGAGGACAGGAAGCAGGAGCTCCTGCTGGACGACGAGGAGATCGACGGGTTCGTTTCCTACCTCGGCGGCTGGGGCCAGCGGCCCTTCGCGGAGCACGAGGAAGCCCTGGCGGCTGCGGCCAGCGACCCTTCGCTGGCCAAAGGCCCGTTACGGCCCTTCGAGCCGATCAGCTTGGCCGGCTTGATCAGCGCTGAAGCCTTGGCGCAGGAGGCGGCTTTCCAGTCGCTGCACCCCCGCGTGAAGCAGGCCATCTTGGCTGGGAGCGCCATTGCCAAGATGCCCAAGGTGACGAAGAGCTTTCGGGGTCTCGCGGCCGAGAAGCGGGCCGAGAAGGCAATGGCCAGGAAGACCCAGGCGGCAGAGAAGAAGGCCGAGTGGCGCGCTGCCATCGACTCGCTCGGCATCGAGGCCGCTCGCAAGCAGTTGTGCGTGCCCGCCGTCGTGACGAAGGCGGCGAAAAAGACGAAGGAGCAGGCCAAGACGAAGGGCAAGAAGGGCGGCGCGGGGAGCACCAAGCGGAGGCAGGCCAAGAAGGGCAAGCAGAAAGCCGCGGCGCGGAAGGGCGCCCGCGCCAAGGCAGCCGCCACTTTCGCAGGGAATGTGGCGACGCTGGAGGCGAAGCTGAAGACGCTGCAGGCCCAGCTCCACGGGGCGGGGCAGGAGGCCGAGTCGCAGAAGCAGGAGGCCAAGCAGGGAGCCGAGGCGCTCGCCGCGCCGCCGGGGGAGCAGCCCGCGGCCGCCGCGGCGGCCGAGAGGAAGCGCTTGCGGGTGCACGCGGACAACCTCACAGTGCGCTCGCTGCAGCTCCAGGGCCTGCACCGCCAGCTGCAGGACCAGCAGCAGGAGCTGGAAAACGCAAATAAGCTTGGCCAGAAGGCCCTCGGCCAGGTCAAGCGGAAGGCCAACGCCGCCATGCAGGCGGCCGAAAGAGCCCTTGCCAAGAAGCCCAGGACGGGCGAGGTGGGCGAGGGCGCAGGCATTGGCGGCGCCGTGGGCTTGCCGCCCCCGCCGCCCCTGGCGCCGACGGCGCCGTCCGTCCCCAGCGGGCCCGCGGGCGACCCTGGCGCTGCGGGTTCGCCGCGCCCGCTGGCCGCGCCCGTGGCGGACTTGCTGGCCGCCGCCTCGCCCGCTCAGGCGGCGCCGTCCGCTGGCGACGCTGGCGAGCTTGGGGCCAACGACGATTGGCTCGGCGTGGCCAGTGCGGCGGACTCGGCGCGCTCGCCGCCCCCGCCGCCCCCGCCCCCAGCTGGCTCGCCTGCCCCCGACGCCCCAGCTGCCTCTGCGCGCGCAGCGGGTGCGGCCGCCGCTTTGCCGACGGGGTGTGCGGGCGCCGCCCCGCTTCCTGCGGCCGCGTCCCGCCTCGAGCCGGGGTGCAGAGTGCAGGTCGACTGCGACGCGGTGTGGGCCAGCGACAGGGCCGCGGCCGCGCGGCTGACCAGCGGGCTCTGGGGCACAGTCGCATCCGTGAAGGGTCCATCGGCGTGGATCCACCCAGGCGGCGACACGTCTGCCAACAAGAGACAGGTGCCCGTCAGCTGGTTGGTCCCCGCCCCGGACGAGCCGAGCAAACCGTTGCCCTGGAGGAAGAACGCGGGGTGGCTCGGCAAAGAGCAGCGCGAGGAGATCAGGAAGGCGTGGCTCCCCGTGGACATAGAAGTCCGCCGGGCCCCAGGCGCCCGCACCCTGCTGAGCGAGGCGGAGCTCGCCATCGCGGCGGTGGAGATCGGTTGGCGCCTGGCGCCGCCCCGCTGCCTGGTGGCGCCACCGCACATCACCACCCTCGTGGCGCACCGCGTGCGCAACCACGATGCGGCCCATGACAGGTACGGCGAGGGCGAGGAGCTTGTTGCCGAACTCCGCCGGTACGCGGACCGCGCGCATGTCCTGGCGATGCCCATCCTCGCCGGCAACCATTGGGTGCTGCTCGTGGTCCAGCGCGCTGGCGCCGTCTCCGAAGGCGTCCCCGCCGCCGTCGAGGCCGATGCCAAGCTTGACGGGTATGGTGTTGGGTGTGGAGCATGCGGGGGCGCTGGGTGCAAGACGTGCTCGTACACTCACGCCGAGAGGTGGTTGGGCCGCCTGAGTAAGGAGTCCGAGTTCATCACTCCATGTACGTCCTTGGCGCCCCTCGAGCCAGCGACTTGGTGGAATATCCGCTATTGCGACTCGCTGCGTCAGCCGTCGAGGGCGTGCGCCGATTGCGCCCATGCCCTGCTCGACGCTTTGCAGCCCGTCGGTGTCCAGAACGTGCTGTCGGCGAAGGAGTTGGCGGCTTCGAGGGCGAACAAGGCCTTCCAGTCTGACGGCTCCTCCTGCGGATGGTGGTGCCTCCACCACATGGAGACCGAGTTCCGCAGGTTCGTGGGCGAGACGTCCGTCGCCTTCGACCTGCAGCGCAGGGTCGACTTGGCCTACCCGATCGTGAGCAAGTTCCTGCCGTAGAGGAGGCTGTGGGTGGCTGCGAGTGGCTGCCAGGTATAGGAGGACGAGACCTATGCATTTACACAGATCCGGGCCAGGTCCATCCTGGGCCCAGGATCGGTGCATTCGCCCTCCTGGCTTGGCCAGGGAGGCATGTACACAGATCCTGGGCCCAGGGTGGGCCTCGGCACGAGCGGTGTATGTGCATACTTCTCATCGCCCGACAGGTATCGGCGGCCGTGCGCGAGACGCCCAGTGGCTGGGCGGACAAGCTCATGGACACCCAGCTGGACAGCGAGCTGTGACGGCCCATCAGCGACACCGCTTGCAAGGGGAGCCTGTCATCAGGCTTGGGGACGGCAGCTTGCGAGTGCAGGCTGCGGCTCAGAGCTGTGATTGCGGACACAGCAAAATTGTCGAAATGAGCTTCCTTCCTCCTCGTCGCTTCCCATTGGGCCCGTTCTGCGGGCGCCCGCTTGCATCTGCCTACCATCGCAGACGTCTTTGGTTGAGGGTCAGGCGGCTCCAAGAGTCCCCAAGACGGGTGAGAGAGCAAGCCCCCCCCCAGATATCTCATGTGTTCGGCGGGGTGGCGCCGATGGCGTAATCAGGGTCAGTTTGCGCACTGGTTAAGTAGTTTTTTCTGGTCGTCTTGAAGTCTGGGGGCTTTGCGGGGCCGTCCAGAGTGGCCTCCTAGATATATCATGGGGCCCTCAAATACGGCGGGGGCATTGGATAAGGAATGCCTTCCTGAGGGGCCAGACCCTGGCGCATTCCTTCCTGTTTCGTTTGTTTTGAAGCGGGGTGGGTGGCCCACGACCAGCCGTCCGTCGGTCGCGAGATCCTGGGTTCCTCATCCAAGGTTTCCTTATCCGATGCCCCCGCCGTATCACCTTGGGGTCATGCGGCGGCTCTGCGCCGCTCGGCATACAGAGCCTCCTCCGATCCGTTTTGCATGTGTTCTTCAGTAGCCATGGCGCTCAAGAAGGGCGCCGCCGCCGCCCCCAAGGCCAAGGTGAAGGCCGCCCCGCCCACCGGGGTCGCCCCCAATGCCAAGGCCGCGCCGCCCACCGCGGCTGCCCGAGGCCAGGGCCAAGGCCGCGCCGCCCGCCGTGACCTTCCCCGCGCCGGCTGCCGCGGTGGGCCACGATGAGCCCCGCGCCAAGAGGCGGCGTCTACCCACGCGGGACGGGGCGTACAGGAAGAAACCGCCTGGTACGTCGGGGTACAAGAAAGCCCAGGACCTCCGGAGGGCAGCGGAGGCGAAGTTGGACGAGTCAGAGGCGCAGTTGCGCGAGTCAATCCTCGCTTGGGAGCGACGCTCGATGGTGGGCGAAGACGGGTGGGGGCGTGCCCGGGCTGCCCAGGACAGGGCGGAGGCTGCTGAGGCAGCTGTCGCCCGAATGCGGCGGGAAACCGAGCGCTCGGCCAACGACGTGGCGTCGACCACCCGCCACTACGAGCGGTGGATGGAGATCCACAGCATGCCGAAGCCGCCGCTCCGCGACTCCACAGGCGCCGTGGCGTGGCCTCGGACGGCGGCCGAGGCCGAAGCCCAGGAGCGCGAGGCCGCGGCGTGGCTCCGCCGCCGCGCCGCCGGTCTGGCGCTGCCCACCAGATCGCCCCCGCCGCGGCGTGGTTAAGGAGCCGCGGGTTTTGAAATACCCCCCCTCGCCTTGCCTGCGCAATGAATGAATTATGTTTTGTCGGCCCTCCTTCCAAAGAGGACGCGGACGGTATCATGAGGCAGGCGACCGAGGACCGTGGGTTCGTGGGGCCGTGCGTGCACGCTCCTGTAGTGGTCTGCGCGGGAGCCCTGCTGGATGGCCTGCTCTGCGGCATTGACGAGCGCGACGGCAGCGGCGGCTTGTTGAGTCCCGCGGCCCTGGTGACTCACGTGGGCATGCATTACGCGTAGTGCGCTAAAATGCCTTCCTCGTCTTACGGCTAGCCATTGCGAACCGCAGCCGCCAATGCATTTCTGGAAAGTCCTAAGTGGCCAAACGTCGGGTCATTGGCCAATATGTTGGATTATATGTGCCTCCCCATTCGCTGAGCCACTCCCCGCATCTAACCCTGACCAACCGTCTAACCCAGATGTGTGCAGAGGGAGTAGGATGAGGAGGATGATGGAGAGGAGGAGGATGAGGAGGAGGAGGAGGACGAGGAGGAGGGGGAGAAGGAGGCTTATAGAACCCGGAGGGAAGGTCTTCCCTAGGCCTACCCTAGGCCCTTCCCCTAGGCCTTCCCTTGGCTTACCTAGGCTTTTCCCTTAGGCCCCCTACCTTAGGCCCTTCCCCTAGGCCTGCCCTACCCTAGGCCCTTCCCCAATGTTTACCCTAGGCCCACCATAGGCCTACCCTAGGCTTACTCTAGGCTTCCCCTAGGCTTCTCCTAGGCCTTCCCTAGGCCCTTCCCCTAGGCCTACCCTAGGACTTTCCCCTAGGCCTTCCTAGGCCTACCCTAGGCCCTTCCCCTAGGCCTTCCCTCGGCTTTTCCCCTAGGCCTACCCTAGGCCTACCATAGGCTTACCCATGGCTTACTCTAGGCTTCCCCTAGGCCTACCTTAGGCTTACCCTAGGCTTACCCTAGGCCCTTCCCCTAGGCCTACCCTACGGCTACCCTAGGCCCTTGGCTCACCCTAGGCCTACCCTAGGCCCTTCCCCTGGGCCTTTCCCCTGGGCTTGCCCTGGGCTTACCCCCGGCTCTTCCCTTAGGCCTACCCTAGCCTTACCCTTGGCCCTTCCATTAGGTCCACCCTTCCCCCAAGTGCCAGGAATGCTTTTGCAAATCGCAGGGCGCACCCCTCACGCAGATTCGTGGCTTCGAAATGCCAAAGATCGTGCCCTGAGAGCTTTTGCAGGTCGCAGGGCGCACCCCTCGCACAGATTCGTGGCTTCGAAGTGCCAGGATTGGTGTCCTGAGAGCTTTTGCAAATCGCAGGGCGCACCCCTCGCACAGACTCGCGGCATCGAAGTGCCGGGAATGGTGGTCCGAGAGGTTTTGCAAATCGCTGGGCGCACCCCTCACGCGGATTCGTGGCCTCGACGTGCCGGGCGTGGTGGCCCGGGGGTTTTTGCAAATCGCAGGGCGCACCCCTCCCACGGATTCGTGGCCTCGAAGTGCCAGCAATGGTGTCCTGAGAGCTTTTGCGAATCGCAGGCCGCACCCCTCACACAGTGTCGTGGCCTAGAAGTGCCAGGAATCGTGTTCTGAGAGCTTTCGCAAATCGCAGGGCGCATTCCCAAGCCCTTCCCCTAGGCCTACCCTAGGCCCTTCCCTTACGCCTTCGCTAAGCCTACCATTGGCCCTTCCTCTAGGCCTTCCCTAGGCCTACCCTAGGCCCTTACCCTAGGCCCTTCCCCTGGCCTACCCTAGGCTTACCCTAGGCCCTTCCCCTAGGCCTACCGTAGGCCTTCTGTTCCATGCGTTTCCAAGTTTAACTTGTACAGCACGAGTGCTATTGTAACCGTGTAGGTCTTGGGTAAGCCTTACCCAAGGCTACCCTAGGGCCTTGGGTAGGTTTACCCTAGGCTACCCTAGGGCCTTGGGTAGACCCTACGTAAGGCTACCCTAGGCCCTTGGGTAGGCCCCACCCTGGCTACCCTAGGGCCTTAGGTAGGGCCTAGGGTAGCCCCCCCTTCCCCGGGTTCTATACCGGAGGAGGAGGATTTTCGGTTCGTGTTCCTTTTCTTGGGCCGTCTTCGGGCTCTCTTGGGCGGTATTGGGGCGCTCTTGGGGGCCTCTTCGGTCGTCTTGGGGTGGTCTTGGGGGCTTCTTGGGCCGTCCTGGAACGTCGTGACGCAGAAAAGGCGCGAACGCGAAAGAGGACCCTGGCAGGGCCCTAGCAGGACCTTGGCAGGGCCCTAGCAGGATCCTAGCAGGGCCCGAGCAGGGCCCTAACAGGGCCCCAGCAGGACCCTAGCAAGACCCTAGTTAGCAGGACCCGAGCCCCCCCCCCAGTACCCTAGCAGGAGCTTGGCAGGACGTTGGCAGGATCCTCGCAGGACCCTAGCAGGACCTTAGAAGGCTCCAGAAGGACCCCTGCAGAACCCAAGCAGGACCCTCGCAGGGCCTTAGCAGGTCCCCAGCAGGACCCTTGCGCCTTGTATTTTTCCATGCAAGATGCGCGTGGGCCGCCGCGCGCGGCGGCGGCCCTCGCCTTCTCGCGCTTGGCCTTTTCCACACAAGTTGTGCGTGGGCCACCGCGCGCGCAGCGGCCCATGGCCCCTGTGCGCTTTGTATTTTCCCATGCAAGATGCGCGTGGGCCGCCGCGCGCGCGGCGCCTCGCGCTTGGCGTTTTCCACACAAGATGCGTTTGGGCCGCGCGCGGCGGCCCATGGCCCCTTGCGCTTTGTATTTTCCCTTGCAAGATGCGCGAGCGGCGGTCCTCGCTCCCTCGCGCTTGGTTTTTCCCACGCAAGATGCGCGTGGGCCGCCGCGCGCGCGCGATGCATACTGTATTGGTTCTATTTCATCGCCCCTATGTTAAGTTGAAAACCAAGCGTTCAAAATTCAATGTAAAAAATCAATTCTCTGGGTACAAGAAGCGGACATACAAACGTGGAGTATAATGATCAATACCATATGGCAGGGGAGCGCGCGCGTACGCGCGCGCGATGCATCCTGTATTGGTTTTATACAGTCGCCCCCATGTTGAGTTGAAAACCTAATGTTCGAAACCCAATGTAAAAACAGTTCTCTGGGTGCAATAAGCGGCCATACAAACGTGGAATATCATAAAATATGCACCCGCGCGCGGGTGCACGTGCCACCCGCGCGCGCACGCGCGCGCGATGCATCATATATTGGTTTTATACGATCGGCCCCCATGTTAAATTGAAAACTCAATGTTCAAAACACAATGTAAAAAATCATTCCCTGGGTACAAGAAGCGGCCATACAAACGTGGAGTATAAGAAAATATCCAATGTGGCAGGAGAGCGCGCGCGCATACGCGCGCGCGATGCATCCTGTATTGGTTTTAAAGATTCGCGCGTACGCGCGAGCGCGCTC